GCGGGAGCTCACTCCGTCATGCGGCACCCGGGTCTTGAACTGCTGAACTACTGACCTTCCACAGCCTGCAGTTCAGCGTCTTAACCACTTGAGCCACCGCAGCTCTGGACCTGCTGTTTATTCTGATCATCGACAGCTGATGTGGTGGTTATTCTCTCAGTCCACATATGGAGCTGCCTAATACTGAATCAGACCCTCAGTCTATCAAGGCCAGGATCGTCTCGTCAACCGGCAGTGGCTCTCCAAGGTCTCAGGCAGAGGTCTTCCATGTCACCTCCTACCTGATCCTTTTAACTGGAGATGCCCGGGATTGAACCTGGGACCTTCTGCATGCCGAGCAGAGACTCTTCCACTGAGCCAGCATCCCTCCCCACAACAGACAACATCTATTTACCCTTTGATCCATGTACCATCGACACCTGATATGGCATTCATTCATTTTTATTGACTGTGAATAGTGTTCATTGGCCCTGACCTGAAACGTGTGTCTATCTGTACCTCAGATGGTTTGACCTCTGAAGAAGGCCCCCAAGGGGCGGAAACACGTCAGGTCACTTTTATTGGCCTTTTTGTTCAGGTCACCTGTACTTTGTAACGAAGCTTTCATTGGGCCCTTATATTTTTTTAACTGTCTGTCTAATAAATGCATGCATTTTTTTATATAGCAAGCATACACTAGGTTTTGAATATTGGCCCTGCATCAGGTTTCTTTCTCACCCTTGTGATTCTTGATTGCAGTTATTGGGTCAAGTTTGTTTCACCCCTCCCTGTGTCTTACTGAAGCTAACTGAGTCTGATCTTGGAAGCTAAGCAGGGTTGGCCATGGCTGGTATTTGGATGGGCGACCTCCAAGGAATACCGGGGATGCTATGCAAAGGCAGACAAAAGCAAACCGTCTCTGAATGTCTCTTGCCTTGAAACCCTGTGGGGTTGCCATAAGCTGACTGCGACATGACGGCGCTTTCCACCATTTCATTGACAACTTTAAAAAATGTTTTAAGCAAAACTTTACACTGTCGGCCCCGTCGTCCTCCTTCCTACCGCTCCATACATGGAGTGTGGAGTTTTCCTGTATTCCTCTCTACTACTGCAGCCCTTTCTGACCCTGAGAAAGATCTCAGGATCTATTCAGGTTGCAGGACTCACACCGTGGCACAGCTAGGGTCCCGGACTGAAGAAGGATGAGGGGTAGAAATAATTCCCTCTACTTAAACTGCAAGCACAGCTCCAACTGCAGAAACGGGAGGTGATTTTATCCCCTGGCCTAGGCCACACTCCAGCACACTGACCCACACAGCTGTTCCTCTGCACAGATCTCATGATCCCCGGAATGATCTTCCCAGTGACCAGAAGAGCGGCAAGAACGGAGAGCAACATGGGAAAACTTCCTTGTACTGATGGTTGGACCCAGGGGTCATTTCGTAGAAAAAGAGGTGCAGGAGCTCATTAGCACAACTTATTTGCATAGGCCACACCCCCTGACATCACCGGAAGTGTGTCAGAAGGCAACACCCACCGCTCAGGCTACACTGGACTGTTTTGGTTTGCTAGCTATGGGTGGGGGGTGGGGGGAAGCACACAAATCTGCCCTCACAGAGGAGGGAGAGCTTGTACCTGAATAAATCTCGGTCTTAAAGGTGCCACTGGACTCTTTTGGATGGATGGCAAGTGCAGGAAAGTGCGTGGCTGCTTGTGGGTTGAGGAGGGCGGCACGGAGGACACGCATGGCCTCAAGAAGGTAGGGGGCCAGGACGGTGGCGGAGCAGAGGTGCAGAAGGAGGCACAGGAGGCCGGGGTGGAGCTCCTTGCAGGCCTCGCGGCAGTTGCCGGGGCCCGCCTTGCAGAGGTGCTGCACCAGGGCCGGCATGAGGACAGGCAGAGCCTGGACAGGCTAGGTGCCACGGCCCAGGCAGGGGTGGAGCAGCTCGAGGGCCAGCTCGCAGCAGTGCTCCGCTGGGCCAGCCAGCGGGCCGGGAAAGGCGGGGGGAGGGGCTGCTGGGAGCAGGGGGCGGGGCTTGCTGCATGTGCCCACCCCCTGGGCTCCTTACTGCTGGAGCTTCACTCCTGTGCACTCCAGCAGGAAATGAGCCCTGGTTGGACCCACACAGTCCCTTTTCTTTTTTGGCCTCTGGTACTTGGTGCTTGTCCTGCCCTGGAAGATGGCCCAGACTAGCCTGATTTCATTGGATCTTGGCTTCTAGGCATGGCTGGGCCCTGGTTAGAACTTGGATGGGAGACCGTCAAGGATGTCCGGGGCTGCAACGCAGAGGCGGGCCATGGCAAAACCACCTCTGTTCATCTCTTGCCTGGAAAGCCCTACGGAGTTGCCTTATGTCAGCTGCAGTTTGACAGGACTTTCCACTGTGATGGGCAAGCCAGTGGGGTGCCAGAAATGATCGCCCAAATGAGGCCTGTTGCCTGGTGTGCCAAGCACTTTGTGCTTTTTTCTGTTCCTGTGCAATAGGATGCGCTCTCCCCCCCCCTCTCTCTCTCCCTCTCCCTCCCTCTCTCTCTCTCTCTCTCTCCTTGCTGCCATAAGGCATACTACTCTCTTCTTTGAGAGCATAGGTGATTGACTTGCAGCAAAAGTAGGCAGCATGAGTAGAGTAGGTGTGATTTTTGAGCTCTATATTTGCAAGGGCGGAGCTCTCACTAACAGCATGAGTACTCCCCATATTATAGATCAGAGGAAATAGCTAAGAAAATGTGGCTTTCCTGAGGCCATCCAGTGGGGCTGAGGCTTAAATAGTGAAGGAAAAATTGTCCTTTAGTGTGACTAACGCCATTTTATAATGCTACTTAGGAATGAACTCGTGTACTCTAGGAGCTGGCAGAATAACTAGAAGTTTCAGAGCCCCCTGAACAGTTTCTTAGCTGATAGACACCCCAAGAATGTGGGGCATGCACAGTACTTTACTAGCATGCACAGTACTTTAGGCATGCGGAGTACTTTACTAGGTACGCTATTAACCTTCCGCAGAAGACTGAATGTGCTGAGTTGTCATACTATGTAACTGGTGGGAATGGAGGTGATGTAAAGATGACATCAACTGGAGTATAAATGTAAGGTATTATAGAGAAGGAGCAAGAAGAATTCTTTTGTAACTTCTGTAGTTAGGAAGGATTCTTTGGCCACGGCACAATAAAGTTGTCTCAGAAATTGTTCACTGCCTCAGTGTGACCATTGAAATAAGACATCTTTATTTGGGACGCAAATATTTCAGCGTCAATAGCATCCCCCAATCCCATATTTTCTTTCTCTGATGTTCAAGAATGGCTGCTCTCACATGAAAGAAATAGGCTGCGGTCACGCACGCCAGCTGAAGTGTGTGTGTGGGGGGAAGTGAGGCTATTTCCTCTGGAGTTGTGAGATCACACATCCCTTTGTAGCTGTGGGCTCAGCCTGTCACTGTGTGATCAGACGCAACTGCAGGTGAGTCCTTTTTTGCCATATTTTCCCCTTGCACATAAACGAGGAATCGCACCTCCGCACTCCGATGATGCGCATACTGTGGGGGGGGGGAACTAGCACTGAGCCGGGAGGGCCTGATCAGACCATCCTGACGGCATGAGAGCGTGCTTGCACGATCAGACAGGGGAAAGTCCGTCCATGGCCCATCGGTACCCATTAGAACCAGACTTTCCCCAGTATCTTTTAACTTTGCTTCCGTGGTGGAGCAGCACGGGTTGCCAACGACTGCAAGATACTTCCCAGATGTTGCTGTCTGATCGCGCCCTTTAGATCCGTCAGGCCTTCGCAGCTATGTCAGATCTAAAGGCACTTGTGACCGCAGCCATAAAGAGCTTTCTTTGGGAATGAATTTACAGCGGTAGCTGAAGTCACCCATTACCAGGGCTATTTTTGGGCAGGAACGCACAGGAATGGAGTTCCGGCTGGCTCCCAAGTTGGCCACGCCCAGCAGGAACTCATTAGCATAATAGGCCACACCCAACAGCGGAAACTCATTAGGATTGGCTACATTAGGGGTGTGTGGCCTAACATGCAAAGGAGTTCCTGCTACAAAAAAAGGCCCTGGGTTTTGACAACAAACAAGGTCAACAGAATAACAAGCAAAAGGTGGGTGTGGCTGGATAACCACACTTCTGGTAACATGGGGGTGCGGCCTAATGCGCTAATGAGCTGTGCTGTCAGGGGTGTGGCATAATATGCTAATGAGTTTCTGCTGTTGGGTGTGGCCTATTATGCTAATGAGTTCCTGCTGGGCTTTTTCTACAAAAAGAGCCCTGCGGCCATTACTAAGGACAGGGCTTGGTCTCCTCTCAAAGAAATGTCAAAACGTGACACTGCAATCAGGGCAAAGACAGGATGTGTCAAACACCTTGACTTTTATTTCTTAAGAACACACCAAACAGGAAACACTTTCAGAACAAAAAAGAAAAATAACTTTAGCCTGCCAGCTGCCGACTCTAACTGCCATCTCCGTTACCCACAATGCTCCGTGGTCCCATCTTTAAAGTGGAAGTGGTATATAAACAATCAGTGGTTATTAGCCACAAGGTATAGATAGGGGCTCTGGGGCAAGTGATGCTCTGTCTTCTTGGTGCTTGGGGGGGGGTCAACAGTGGGAGGGCTTCTAGTGTCCTGGCCCCACTGGTGGACTTCCTGACGGCACCTGGTATTTCTGGCCACTGTGTGACACATAGTGTTGGACTGGATGGGCCTTTGGCCTGATCCAACATTGGCGTCTCTTATGTTCTTATGTTCTAAACATTCCACCACACCGTCTGTCACAATGGTAGATGTTTGACCAGCAATGGAATAATAATCATTGACACTTACGGCCCCATTATGAAGTGAGGTGCCACTGAAGTGAACGCTCCAGTGGCCATGATGAGGCACCCGATCGCAATGACCTTTGGACGATGGACTCTTGAGCCAAGGTAACTCACCAGGATCAGCACCATTAAGTTTCCTGCAGCGTGAGAGAATGGCTCAGCAATACTTGGGACAGTGCCTTCCGGCACACATTCTTCCCTGCGTAGCACAGGGAAGTACACGTACCTATCTCAAAGCTTCCGTCAATGAGACCAACTATGGAGGAGGAAATTTCAAACCTCCTCTCAATCTGCGTTATCATGCTCTTCAGGTAGCTTCCTGAGAATCCTTTGGCAAAGAAGGAAAAGGCCAGAGCCGCAAGAAATATCTGTGGAAAGAAGAATACGTAGAGCAGGCAGGGAGTTAGCAAAGGAACCGTGGTCACTAGGGAACTGGGAAGTCTTGAAGAACATCTCACCTAAGGCATGTTACAGAGGCCTCTCAAACGTGTGACTCATGCCCCATGGTGGCACCGTGTTTCCATCTGCATTTAGGGATGCCAGTCTCCAGGGCAATGTTCCCTCTAAGAACCTGGGCAATGTTCCCTCTAAGCTGTGGAGTCTTGTGAGCAAAAATTCTTACTTTCTGAGCTACTGCCATTAAAGTTGTGAGCAAGCGACTTGGCTGCTGCATCAGAGGTCATTTTGGGGGGGGGGACGCGGGGGATCTCAGTTCCCCTGAGTGAGGTACGGGGGCGGGGCACATGACGAAGCCCCGCCCCCTGCTTCCGGCCACCCCGCTTCCGGCCCTCATTCAGCCAGGAGGAGGCAGGAGAAGAGGGAGGGTAAGTTGCTTCCTCCCTGCCTCTCCCCACCCCTGCCTGCCTGGGGCCAGGGAGGGCCTTCACGGGGCTTCCTTGCACTCCCGCCGGCCTTGCAGGTCCACCGCCGGCCCCTCATGGGGCTCGGCAGTGGAGCTGCAAGGCCGGC